GACCTCCTTGAGTCACAGCCGAGCACATCTCACTCTGCTAGGAGCTGGGTTTCCTTTCTTTACTTGCGGCTGGATGTGACCACGTGCTTGAGTACTGACTGGAGGGGCATGATGGGTAGTGCTCTGTGTACTTTCTGGGTCCCTTCTTTAGAAAGAAGGTGCTTGCCATCCTCCTCCTACTTTCTGCTTTCTCATCATTTAGGAAATGATACAAGCCTAGAGCAGCCATCTTGAATGTGTGTAGAAAGAAGTCATAAACCAGGCAATCCAATGCCCACCAGGCCCTGGTCCCTTCCCAGGGTAGTGGAGGGGGGGAAGCTTATGTTTTCCCTCAGCTATTGTTCGTCCGCTACTGGCAGCTCTTGGTCACAGCAGTTTAACCAGTCTTATATGTTGCAAGTTATTCTGACATAATTTTTTTGTAATTTTCTTCCTTTGTTTTAAAGATTTTTTTAAATTTATTATGTATACAGTGTTTTGCCTGCATATATAACTGCACACTAGAAGAGGGCGCCAGACCTCATAGGTAGATATGAGCCACCATATGGATGCTGGGAATTGAACTCAGGACCTCTGGAAGAGCAACCAATGCTCTTAACCTCTGAACTATATCCCTTTAACTCTCTGACCTAACTTTTATATGAAGCATGAGAAGTGGAAGCAGGGCTCTTCTGCTAGTGGGATTTAAAAGTGAATGATAGGAAATGGTTTAAAAAATACTAATTTGAAAGATGTGAGATCAGGTGCACTTTTATTTGGGGATAGCCATACTTGGCAGTGCCATCCGTGCCATGCTAACTTTGGCAGCTTGAAGGGTGGAAGAGTAAGAATCACATGGATTCTTCATGTGATTTTAGAGAAGCATTGAGACCAGGCAGCATGTGTCAGGGGAGTTCCTGCTGTGAAAGGACATTGTGTGAATCTGTGAAATTGATGCCTGGGTTGTGACAGAGACCCCAGGATGTTAAGAGGTGCCAGCCTTGACTCTCTACCATGGAGAGTGTCGTACCAGGCGTGGAACTAGGCTCTGGTGGTTGGAATGAGAGTAACCCGCATAGGCTCATGTGTTTGGATACTTGGTCCCCAGTTGCTACAATTGTTTGGGAAGGGTTAGAAGGTACAAGGGAGGAGGTGTGTCATTAGGAGTGGACTTTGGAGTTTCAAAAGATTCACATCATTCCCAGGTAGCTCTTTCTGCCTCTTCCTTACAGATCAAGTTGTGAGCTCTCAGCTGCTTCTGTTGCCATGTCTTTTCTTCACCATCTTTGATTCTAACCCTCTGAAACCATAAGCTCATTAAATGCTTTTGTTTCGTTTTGGTTTGGTTTGGTTTTTCAAGACCAGGTTTCTCTGTAGCTTTGGAGCCTGTCCTGAAACTACCTAGGGGTAGGCTTTTAAATTTTATAACCTTATTCCACTTTTAGTTGTCTCTCTTTGCTTGGTGCTTGTGGTTGAAATATGAGCTCTCGTTGTCCTGTTCTATTGCTGTGCTTCCCCCACTTGCTGCCATACCTCCACCTCCGTGCCATGATTGACTCTTACCCTCTAGAACCATAAGCCGAATAAACTCTTCCTTCTGTCAGCTACTTCTGGTTGTGATAGTTTGTGATAGCAACAAAAAAGTAACTAATAAAGCCAGTTTTGCTTACAAGAACTAGAACTGAATGAACAGTTTGTGTTTTTGGTGGTTATTCTTTCTGATCATGCTTTTGACTCTGTATAGTATTGAGGACTAATAGTGTTAGTGTGAGAGAGAATAGAAAATATGTTGCATGACCATTGTGTAACTGTAGAATGATTTTATGATGGGATTGTGCTTGCCATGCTCATGGAAGCTACTGAATTTGGATCCCAGCACCAACATAAAATGCTGGGTGAGTGTGGTAGTCTATTTACAATCCTAGAAATAGAGACGGGATCCCCAGAGCAAGCTGACTAGCTAGACTAGCAGAATTGGTGAGCTCCAGGCTCACCAAAAGGAAAGTATGGAGGAAAATGCCTGATGCCAACCATCTGGCCTCCACATGCAGGCACACACATACAAACATATATTTCCACATACCATAAAATAGACACATGCACACAGAGATTTTTTTAAAAGACTTGATATTAAGAGATATATGGTAGATTGCCTAAATTGTAGGCATCAAAGGAAACTAAGAAACTGAAGTCTCATATTTGCTTGTCTTCATGAAAATAAAGCATTTTGTTGTATCATTAACATTTAAGCATTTCAGTGTGTTATTTTAGAATATGTAGTCAATATTTAGTAAAAGTGACTGATAGAAAAAGTGAAACATTTTTTCTCTTTTATCATGAAATATTTAATAATGGAAATTGGGGAAAATACTGTATTGTCAACAGCTGTCAAAAACCAAAAGTACTTTGAAGTAACAAAAGCAGCAATTCTGTCTGACAAAGTTGGTGGTTCAGTATAGTGGGATTCACTGTTTATTTGGAATAAAGTGAAGTCTTGAAACATGAAAAGCTAGCTTCCAGATAGATTTTATTATTCCATTAGATATTGCTGTTGTTATTATTATTTTTTTTACGGTTTTTAAAATGTGTAGTAATGCTTTGTCTGCATGTATATCCATGTACTACACATATTCCTGGTGCCTGCAAGAGGTCAGAAGAGAGCGTCAGATCCCCTGGAATGGGAGTTAAAGATTGTTTTGAACTGTCATGCGGGTGCTGGGACTGAAACCTGGGTCCTCTGGAAGAGTAGCTAGTGCTTTAAACCACTGAGCTATCTCTCCAGCCCCAAGTGAGACAACCTTAAGAGAGTTCATGTATGATTTAGGAGTTGGAAAAAACTTTAACCAAGGCTCTAAATCCAGAATCTATCTTCCTTCCTTCCTTCCTTCCTTCCTTCCTTCCTTCCTTCCTTCCTTCCCTGTTTGGAATTATATTGAAAACAGTTTCTGAGGCAAAAGGTATCCCAAAATCAGCAGATTTGGAATTTGGTTGGGATTTATATTTAATATATTTAATTTATTGCTTGTGTGTGTGTGTGTGTGTGATGTTTGTGGGTCTATATATTCCATGGCTCATGTATGGAGGTTAGAGAACAACTTTGTGGGGTTGATTTTTTTTCCTTCCCCCTTTATTGAGTTCTTGGGAACAAATTTGGGTTGTCCTTGGCCATTATTGGCATGTGTTTTTACCCAATGAGCTATCTTGCTGACCCAAGGATTTATTTATAATTCACAAAAAGTTTATAAAAAATTTGACAGGCCAAGCTGTTCAATAGGAAAAATTGGACAGAACAAAGTTTGATGGGCAATTCACAGAGCAAACCCAGTTTGCCAACACAACTAGGAAATAATGCCATCTGTTTAGCAGAGTGGCACTAACTGAAGTACCCGACCATTAGTAAGTGAATCACAGTTAAGTTTCTTGCTGTAGAACAGCTTATCTCTATACTGTGTTCTCGCTGTCTCCATATATTAGAGTTCAGGTCTGGCTCTGATTCGTCCTCTGCTTGGGGCCTTGCAAGACTGTGGTAGCTCAGATATGACTTGCCTGTGGGATGAGAGTTATGAGTACAGCCCAACATGAAATCATAAACTTGCATAAAATATTATGAAACCTTTTAATGCTCTTTTTTTGTGACTAGATTGTGTGGTTCTTTGGACGTGGTTATCATGACATGGTAGCATCTTTTCGTAAGGTTAAAAGGTTGGACATAGGATGTGGGATTCCCCTCTGTATGCTGTGAATACCATTGGTTAATGAATAAAGCTACTTTGGCCTGTTGTAGCACAGAATAGGGCAAGGCAGGAATTCTAAGCAGATAAAGGAGGGAAGAGTAGCTGCCAAAAGATAAAGATGCTCGCTAGAGCCTATTGGAACTTTGCCCGTAGGCCACGACCTCGTAGTGATGCATGGATTAATAGAGATGGGTTAATTTAAGATGTAAGAGCTAGCTAGAAATATGCGTAAGCTAATAGGCCAAGCAGTGTTTTAATTAGTACAGTTTTTGTGTAATTTTTTTCGGGTCTGGGTGGCCAGAAACGAACAAGCAGTCTCAGTCTATAGACATACTTATTAGCCAATTATGCCCATCTCTTTTTAAAAGTAGGTATTGGTTGTTGCATTCTTTTCTCTAGGCTCATATTATTGTTGACAGAATTTTCTTCCTTCAATCTGCAAAGCTTTGGCCCCGTTTTCTTGCCAGCTTTTAAATGGGGCAACCTTCAGATTGTGGAGGTTCCAGAAGTACCTGCCACATAGCCTTTTCACAGGCCATCTCACCCCAGGAATATCCTGGCTCTACTCCAACAGTAATGGAATGTGAACATGGCAATGACTGTCCCGTCATCTTTGTCACATTCTGATGGACAGAACCAAGTGACAAGATCTTGTCCACAAAGGGAGTGATGCCGCTCTTTGTGGGTCATCTCGGAATTCTCCATACCACAGTCACTTAAATCCATTAAACTGGAAAGAAGTGGAAAAAGTGCTGCTAAGTTTATTACCAGGCAGGGTGAGAAGTATTTCCAGGAAGGTGTCCTGGTAGTTTTATGTCAGCTTGACACAATCTAGAGTCATTCTGGAAGATGGATCCTCAAATGACAAAAAGACCCCACTAGATTGGTCAGTATCTGTGTCAGGAAGCTCATAATTGTCTTTAATGACTGTTCCTGAGGGCATGATATCTCTAGCCTCCTGCATACACACACACACACACACACACACACACACACACACACACACAATTTAAAATAATGAGAATAAAACTTAGGAAAAATATTTGTGAAGTCAGAAACTACTATTGAAATGTAGGAGGAAAGGTCTGGAAGGTTTGAACAGATGCATGACTCTTAATAAAGCTTGAAAAGCCTCCTTTAAGAAATTGCCTTATATGTAGAGTTATGGATAAATAACTTTGATTTTGCTTTCTATATTCGGAGTTCCAGTTTTGGCAAATCTTCTGCACTGGGTGTTTTATGAACCTGAATGGCACATTTAATTTTCAAAGCTGTGTTTTCTTTTAGTGTCTTTTTCAGATGAGGAAAAATATCAGCTACGAAAATTTGTAAATAAGTCTTACCTGCTGGACAAGACAGCTCACCGTCAAGTGTACTACAGTTTAGTTGACATCCTTCTGGCCTATTGCTATGAAGTACGTGTCACTGAAGGAGATCACAATGTAAGTCTGTGTGTTTGTCATTGTGGTAGACCACTGTGTTAGCTCAGGGGAGCTAGGGCTTCGCTACCTGTTGAGAGCAGAGCCTGTTGTGATAGATTACTTAGGGGCTGTCCCAGCAGAAGTAACTATGGTCTTGTCTCTTCTCTCTTGGCAGTAGATCTACTAGATAGATAGCAGAGCAGAGAAGTGTAAGGAAGTAAGCCAAGGGTAGAAAGGAAGGCCGTGTCATTTGACACTAGAGAGTAGCAAAAGAGCCAACTACCACACTTGTGTTTTTCTCCAAGCTTCATCTATCTCATGCAGAGTAAAGCCTTTTGCACTTTTGCAGAAAAGAATCTTAGTATACAGTGTGTACTTTAAAAGATTTGTATGTCAGTCCCATTTTTTCAAATCTTGAATCACATTTCTTTTTGTTATTTAATAGAATCGTCTCAGGCCGAGGCAAGAGGTTTGAAAGATCAAAGCCAGCCTGAGCTGTAAATGGAGACCCCGCTTTGACTTTTTGTTCATCTTCTTATTGTATACTAAAGAAACCATGGGTCGTGTCATTATTTTATTTATTTATTTATTTTTTAACTTTATTTTATGTGCAATGATGTGAAGGTGTCAGATCACCCAGGGACTGGATTTACACACACTTATGAGCTGCCATGTAGGGTTCTGGGAATTGAACTCGAGTCTCTGGAAGAGCAGTCGGTGCTCATAACCACTGAGCCATCTTTCCAGCCCCGTGTCATTATTTTAAAGACAGCATGTTCAATCACCAGTGCATCCAGTCTTTGAATTAATGAAGAGATAAATGCTGGAAAACCAAAGTCTTTCTAGGTAGTGTGGCCTCACTATTTGTAATTACTTGTGCTCAGAATTTTAGCCTTATCATATGCTTTCCTTTTTCTTTTTGATTATGCAGATAATTTATATCATTGGATTTCCCATAATTCCAATAGTTAGTAATAACAACAGTTACAAGATGATTTGTCTGGTTTTCTTTCACTGTGCATGTGTGTGTGTGCTCGCACTCATCTACACTGTGATTTAATTTACCTCACACAGCATCCTACTGTCAATAGTAGTTTGAGATGACATTTCTTTGTTGTCATGATTCTGAAAATTTCTGAAGTGACTTTTGCAGTCTGCATGTGATCTAAGTGAATAATCTTGGGGTATCAAGAATGTAATTATCTGAAAATACTTTATTTTCAAGTCTTTTTAAAATTAATTTATTTTCATTTTCTGTGTATTACTGTTTTGCCATGGGCCTTGGGTCCCCTGGAACTAGAATTACAAACTGTTGTGAGCTGCCATATGGGTTCTGGGAATTGAACCCAGGTCCTCTCGAAGAGCAGCCAGTGCTCTTAACCACTGAGCCATCTCTCCAGCCCCTCAAGTCATTTTTTAAGGACGTTCTAAGTTGATAAAATGTTTACTTAGTCAAAAAAATAAAGATTCATCATTTTATATTATCGAGTCCTTTAAATTTTTTGAAAGATTTTAAATTTTGTGTTTTTGAGGTTTTGCCTGCACATATGTATGTTGCACCATGTTTGTGCCTGTGGAGGTCAGAAAGGGGCATTAGATACCCTCGAACTGGAGTTATGAGTGGTTGTGCGCCACCATGTGGGAGCTTCGAAATGAACCCAGGTCCTGTACAAGAACAGCTAGTACTCTGGACTACCGAGCCCTTTCTCTAGCCCCACATACTAAATCTCGATGAGAGAAAGTGTTATACTTGATAAAATTTGCCAATTTTTCTTTTATTTGCATGTTTAAAATCATGAAGTCTTGCAACTTTGCAAGGCTTTAGACTACTGTTAATCTCGCATGCATTTTCTGAAAGGCAGTTTCTATGGGGTTTTCAGGTGCCCAGCAGCAGTTCAACAGCGAATGATTTAGTGGAGAAAGAAACAGCAAACATTTTGCTTCAGTTCTGTTTGTATGCCCCTGCTTATTTGTTTGTACATTCTGATGCTCTCATTAGTGAAGTGATTAATTCCACAAAATTCCAAGCACGGTGAACAGAGACATCTTCTATTAGTCTCTGCATCAATACACTCATAAATATATCATTTTTGTACTAGTTCCAGTGAATATATTTGTTTCATTTTCAAATGACTTTTGATGGTGACACTGCTTTCTTCAACACAAAGGTCGAGTCTGCGTGGACTATCAGAAAGCTGAGCCCAACTCTCTGCTGGTTTGAGGTATGAGTTCTACTTGAAATTGTTTACACTTTCGTTGTTTATAAAATTATTTTTTCTGTTGTTCATTTTGGTTAGTTCAAGCAATTTTTTGTTGTTTAAAATTTTTTTTAATATTTTTACATTGGGAGCTTTATTATACTTTTAAAAAAATAAACTTGTTACCGGACAGTGATGGCGCATGCCTTTAATCCCAGCACTCGGGAGGCAGAGGCAGGCGGATCTCTGTGAGTTCGAGGCCAGCCTGGTCTACAAGAACTAGTTCCAGTACAGGCTCCAAAGCTACAGAGAAATCCTGTCTAGAAAAACCGAAAATAAATAAGTAAATGAAATAAAATAAGAATAAACTTGTTGGAATAGTCAATCAGGAAGCATTTTAGAAATTGTGGCGGAACACTGAGGATACTGTGGGTTGTTGAGAAAATGTGGACAGAACTGCAGGTATGTTAGTAAAATGGGACGCAGAGTTCAACATAGGTAACAAACCCAGGTGATAATGGACTACCAGAGTCACGTGCCGTGTTTTATATCTCCTATTTATCTTGTTCTTCAGTAACCTTATTGAACAACACTCAGTAAGGTGAGTGTTGCTGAATTTACATGTAAAGAAACTTAGATCATATAGTTTAAAACAAATTGTTCTGCATCCTATTATTTTATGGTTAGAGCTGCTAACCTCTTTTTAAAAACATTAAAATTGGGGGCTGGAGAGATGGCTCAGGTTAAGAGCACTGACTACTTACTCTTCCAGAGATCCTGAGTTCAATTTCCAGCAACCGCATGGTGGCTCACAACCATCTGCAATGAGATCTGGTGCCCTCTTCTGGTGTACAAGCATACATCCAGGCAAAACCCTGTACACATAATAAATAAAGAAAGAAATCTTTAAAATAATTAAGATTTTATTTGTCACTATTACTATTTTGCAGGGCACTTATCATAGCATGTATGTGAAAGTCAGGGAACAATTTTGTGGAATCAGTTCTTACCATCCACCTTTATGTGGGTTCCATGGATTGAACTCAGGTTTACCAGGTACAAAGCACCTCTACCCGTGGAGCCTTCCCACCGGCCTGCTATCCTCTTTTAGTGTGACGATAGTTGGTTTTGTTTCTATTTTCTAAAAATTTTTCTACAGTTTTCATAACATTTATTAAAAAATAGTTATCTTTTACATTTCTGAGTTTGGAACAATTTGTCTAACATCAAAGTCGTACCATCAGTTCAGATAATGCATACTTTAAGTTGTACAGTGGAGGTTGCTTCATATATTACTTCCTTCTGTGAGGAGGTAAGAGTCGCATCACTGAGTATGAGACTGTTATGTTCCAGTAGTAAGAGTAGACCGGCAGCATTGCCAGCCACCTCAGCTGGTAGCTACTTATAAAGTCAGGAAGCCTGTCCCTGTCCCCACTTTACCATCAAGTCCAAATCCATGTCTGGATGCCTGTCCCAATTAAGACTCTAAAATGCCCCTGCTGCACGTATGGGCTTTAATCCACACGTGTGATCTGTTGATGCAGCCTGAGGAAGAGTGAGTCTGTGACCAAGTGAGGTGTACAAGAAGAATCTCACTTGTGCCAGTGATCAGGGGTTCAGAGTTTAATTGGGATTGTTCCTTTTTGACTGTGTGATTTTTGTTGTGTATGTATGTTATGGAAATTACTTACTGATATGACTCTTCATAGACTTGGACAGACGTTCCTGAAATCCTGGTGTCTTTTGGAAGGAGAGTTTTGTGCTATCCACTTTATCGTCATTTCAAGCTGGTGATGAAAGCCTACAGAGACACCATAAAGATACTGCAGCTAGGTACGGTAGGCTTGCATATCTGGGCATGAGAAGTAAAGTTTTAGTATGTGGAGATGTACTCATGACTTTTACTCTTTTCTGTACATACATAAGTAACAAAAGTAATCAAATCCACTCCCCAGGATATAAAAGATAATGTTACTCTACAGAGATACACAGCCATGCTTACTTTTTTTTTTTTTTTTTAATTTCCAAGACACGGTTTCTCTGTAACTTTGGAACCTGTCCTGGAACTATCCAGGCTGGCCTTGAACTCACAGAGATCCACTTGCCTCTGCCTTCCGATTGTTGGGGATTGTTGGGATTAAAGGTGTGTATGCCTCTGCCTCCCAAGTGTTGGGATTAAAGGTGTGCACCACCACTGCCCGGCCATGCTTACCTTTTCTGAGAAGGGGGAATGAATAGATCATGCCACCCTGAAGATAGATTGTGTTTTCAGTGTTTCTTGGATTCCTGTAACTTTCTAGGCACTGGGGTGGGACTGAGGGTCCAGTAATGACATGTGATAAATTCTCTCCTCATTGAGCTTTACAGCATTGTCAGAGACTGATAAATAAACCAGCAGCTCCAGTCCAGAGCCACAGCTGCTCTGACCAAGAAGTAGAGTGATTGTTTAGGCAGGCACTTGTCACCTCTACTTGAGAAAGAAGGGAGGAATTTAAAGGAAAAGCATCAATACTCAGAAGACTCTGGACTGATGCTAAATTTAGCGTAAAAAGTCAAGTAATTTCTGGCTGTAAGAATATGGAAAATTCCAGGCTTCAAAACAGATTCCAAAGCGCCCATACCAACAGCATTAGAAAGGATTAATTTCCAAGGTAATGATTTTGAAGGGAGCATCATCTGTTTGTGTAGATTAGTTCTGGTACATTCATTTAAAGTCACTTTCCGCACTTCTTGGTCTTTCTTTTTTGTCCGGCCACTGTGCGGGGGCTTGTCTTTCCTTTGCCCTTTTAAAGGTGTTACTGGGGTTTAGTTTTCAGGCTCACATAAGAAGGGAAGTCCTTCCTCCTGTCCATGAGAAGGGAAGCTCATCATCCCCCATGTTCAGGTGACTTCATTGGATTGCTAGGGAAAATCCCATCTTCGTTGTTTTGTCCCAAGGGACACCTAGCTTTGTTGTCCTCAGTGTTCCCTCTGGGGGAGGCACGCCTGAAGTAGGTTATAATTGTGAAAATGAATCGAATCATAGTTAACTGAAAGATGCCTTTTCATTCACGGATAGATTTAGACTAGTAGTGTTTTACTTTGAAGGATTGTTGTTTAGGATACATGAGTGAGTATCATTGAGAAATCTATCTCCTTTAACAAACTGCCTTTTTTGGTATGTTATTTTTCTGTTGCTTTCCATCCAATGTACTTCTTGAATCTCTAAAATTACCTTGAGAAATCAATCTACTCTAAATGACTAATTGTCAAGCTGGAGCTATACATCACAATTACTTGCTTTTTGTTGTCTTGCAAGATTTTCTGAGCATTGTTCATAGATTTAAGCTTGGAGGCTCTTGTGTTATGGCTTCCAGGAGGAAGCCAGCAAAACTGTGCATGTTCTCATACACATCCACTCTCGCTCTCATTCATGTATACTATTGCTTCTTTCTTCTTATTCTGGGAAGTAATCTGGCACTCTGGAGTTTTATTTGAAAAGTAATCAGTTCTGTGATTGCATAACCCAAAATAAATTTGATTGCCTTGACTTACAGTCTAATCAATTATTCAAACAGTTTTAGTAGGTTAGAGCTGAAATTGAGACTTAACTTTTCATCATTATCACTCACAAAAAAAATAGTCCTATCAGCTATATTTTGTTGGCAGCAGACTTGAAATAACACACTAGAACCCCCTTTGAAATGAATGTGAGCCGACTAAGCCACAGTGCTGGGTTCTGAAACTGGCTTAAGTTGTGCTTAGTGCGGAAGCAGAGCTCTGGGTTGTCCTGAGCCTGTGCCATTGGATGTGAGTGTGACAAGCTCTGAATGAGGTTGTGACCTGTGCATGTTCAGATGGATGGCACAGGAATGCCATTATTATCACTGAGGAGTCTCATTTTTTTTTTTTTTTTGGACACTTCATAAGTTAAGTGGAAATAGCACCAGCTTGGCATTTGGTGTTTTCCAAGAATGAATTTGTATCTACTTAAAATTCAGAACACAGCCCTAGCAGTCACACTTTTATTGTAAAGGTCAGGTAGTGCTTGCATAGTTGAAAGTAATGAATGACTCTTTCCCACAAAGAAATACTGATCTCAGATGGATGAGTTTCCAGAACTAACGTGGGAACGCTTCAGAAGCCACAGAGAATCGCTCGTGATAACTAAGGTGAGAGTTTTCAAAGAGCCATGAACTTGCTTTATCTGACTTTACAGCATCCTTTACCAGGATGCTTTGCTGGGCCTTGAGCATCTTTAAGTTTCCTGCATCCTTACCTCTTACCATCTTACAGAAGGCCCTGCTTATCTGTCTCTTTTGTTGTATATTAAATCCAAACTTCCACAGGATGGGAACTGACCTTGCCCTGGTCAGCACTGTTTTAGTGCTTTACCCATATGGTTGGCTGTTCTCCCTCTTCGTTCCTTCTGCAGCACAAAACTCTCCCTTGTAGCCAGGTGGTGGTGGCACACACCTTTAATCCCAGTACTTGGGAGGCAGAGGCAGGTGGATCTCTACGAGTTTGAGGCCAGCTTGGTCTACCGAGTGAGTTCTAGGACAGGCTGCAAAGCTACGCAGAGAAACCCTGTCTCGAAAAACCGAAAACCAAAACAAAACCTCCCCCTTGTATCCTCTGTTCCTGACTCCTGGGCAAATGTCACTGCCTCCTGCTGGCTGATTTTTCTTTTTCTTTTTCTTTTTTTTCTTTTTCGAGACAGGGTTTCTCTGTGGTTTTGGAGCCTGTCCTGGAACTAGCTCTTGTAGACCAGGCTGGTCTCGAACTCACAGAGATCCGCCTGCCTCTGCCTCCCAAGTGCTGGGATTATGATTTTTCTCTTTTTTAAGCACGAATAGAACCCATCCTAGAGCCATCCTTTAGTAGTTTTCAGTCATTTGGAAATGAAAACAGTTGAAAAAAAAAAAAACTAGTTTCCGGTCTACCTTAGAGTTATTCTACTGGAAGCTACAAGCCGTATCATCCATTACTTGATCATACATTGTATACATCTTGAATATTTGGATTTGTGTCTCTGCCTCTAAACACTATAAGGTTTTTCTCACTCTGCGGTTGGAGGGCAGCAAGCAAGTTCCACCTTTGAGCTCATTCTGTGTCCCCATTGCTGTGGATGGAAAGCATACATGGTTTCTATAATCCTATAGGTTTTTCTGACACTTAAGATTCTATACATGATTTCTCGCTAGTCCTAGTTACAAGATGAGTCTAATTTCAGGACTTGAAGTTTTAACTTCGTACTTGTAAAGAGGAAACCTTGACTTGTCTGGCTTGTGCCTTCCTCAGATTGTGTAGCCAGTAGAGAGTAGGACAGCTATCGAGGAAGGGGCCTCTCCCTTTGTTTAATGGGCAAATCACATCTCTAATGGCTAAGTTACCATATTGACATTGCTGCCATGGGAAGTACCGGTTGCTTCCAATAGAATAGCCCTTGCTGCACAGCTACCACAGTTGCTCTTCCCTGCTTTCTGATGGGGGCAGGTGCGAGTTCTTGGTCTGTTCCTGTTTTCAGGGAAAGGAGGTTGAACTCCCTGTGGGCTCTTTTCAAGTAGGCTTTGGCCCATTTTGTCCTGTGTGAGCCTGAGTGGAAATGGTAATCACACCCTAGCTGACATGAAGTTGCTATTTTCTATGTGTTAGCTCCAGGCTCCCTTCTTCTGATGCCTTCTTATCTCAGTTCACGGCTAGTGCCATCTAGTAAAGCAGGAATTACTGCCACATGTTTGCAGAGGAAAAGCAGTCTCTAAAAAATTAAGGGAATGGCCAGCCAGAGTAGATGACACAGCCTGAACTGACTCCATGTCTGTCTAACTCAAAGTCTGGGCCCTCTTGACTATTGGATTCATTATTAATGGAGTCTGGCGTTAGCCTCATAATAACCTGCACTGATCGTGAGAAGGCCAGTGTTGTTGCAGTGAGGGGCTAGGTTTCAGGGTGCTCCTGAAACACATTTGCTGCTGGGGCAGTGAGTGTATGGGGTTCATGATATGGCCGTTTTGTGTGTTAGGATTTTTTTTTTTTAAATAAAAAGTTGTTTGTTTTTTCTAAGTCTGTACTCTTAACCACTTTATTATGTTTTCTAGTTCAGTTTAGTCATTTAGTTTGGGCAGCTGTATGAGAAATTTTGGTTATTAACACATAGAAAATTAGAGTTTAGAGGAGCTGGGTGTGGCTGGGGTGTAGCTCAGTAAGGAGGCTTGCCTTCTCTGTGCAGTGTTCAGTGTTCTAGGTTCTGTTCCTAGTACCCAGAAAAGAGGTAAGAAAAATCTGTCTGTCTCATTTCTAAGGCTACAGAAACCTATGCTTCTGTAAATACTTGAAGTCTGATGAATGCTAGACAGTATGCAGCCCAAGAAACTTTTTTCATGGATTGAAGGCCAGTTTCACATGAGATGAGTAGCAGCCCTTACATAGAGGTTACTAACAGAGCTCAGTAATAACAGACTTCTCAGAAATTACTGCTTCACAGTCCTCTTCTGTAGATACAGTAACATGATCAGAAGAAAGCAGTTGCCAGGGCACCAAGTACAGGCCTTTGGGCTGACATGATTTTCATTTTTAAGAGATGTAGGTGATTATAAATTGAGGCATCTGTGGCAAGTGTATTATATGAACTTAGAATTCTGATGAAACTTTACAAATGAATTTCTTCTTTTTTAAAATTTATTTTATGTGTATTAGTGTTTTGCCTGTGTGCATGTCTGTGAGAGGGTGTCAGATGTTGGAATTACAGACAATTGTGAGCTGTCATGTGGGTCCTGGGAATTGAACCCAGGTCCTCTGGAAGAGCAGTCAGTGCTCTTAACTGCTGAACCATCTGCTCAGCCTGTGAATTTCTT